CACTTAGGGTGGGGGGGGGCTAAAGCCCCCCGGCGATCCTTTGGCTAACTCGCATGGGGGGGGCCCGCCGGGTAACTGCTAACTCCTGCTCACCACAGGTCAGAGTTACCTCACCCTACCACTCACTAGGGATTAAAGGCAACAAGGCCTGATTCTGAATTCAAGCAGGTGATAAGGGAGGCCATTAGGCTAGGAAACGGAAGGCTAAGGCAAGGGAAGGGAGAGGCAGAGTAACCTTTTACTAAGCGGTAAGCCAGCTTACAAGGGAACCGTTTACAGGGTGGTAGTAGGGGGGCCGGCTTCAGAGGGGGCCAAAGCCCCCCAACACCCAACCAGTTAGCCAGGTTAAAGCAAGGTAGGGGGGATCTACGGATCCCGGCCCTCGCTTTAGGGGCCCCGCTACCATGTTCGATCCTAGTAAGAGAGAGTTTAAACAGTGACGAGACACAAAGGAAGGTATCTACCAAGTCTTTAACCACCTTACCCATGTCTTGGCTACATCTTTTAAATTGATTAAAATAGTGACGTTTAACCAGGTTCCAATTCACCCGCCTAGTGCAGGCACAAGAGTTAAATCAGTGTCCAATTCCAAAGATATCAAACAGGTAAGCAAGTGAAGCAAAGGACAGTGAATGGGAACAGATAGGCTATAAGAAATCAGGAAGCCATTAAGGCTTAGTTTCATCCCAACAAGGAGGCAAGGAGGCATGGGATAGATATAACCGGGTATCTACCATCTAGGAATAGGTAACTAGTAACCAATAACAGCTATCCAAGGAACAGTTAGGGAAACGACACAACCGAGGGGAGAAGTGAATTAAGTAACATAAAGAAGGGGTTAACCCAGGAGTAGATAACAAACCAGGGGATGCCTTAAAAGCAGCCCAACTAAAGCCTAGTAGCTACCAGATAGAAGTAACCAACTCCAGGACGATAGGCAGACGAAAGAAGGGACTTACTTCTGATCTGAAAGGAATACAAGAGAGGGGTGTAAGAAGAGGGGTGTAAGAAAAGGCACAGTTAAAGGGAATCGAAGAGAATGAAAAGCATTCTCATCATAAGACCAAGAGATCAACTGGCAATAGTGCCAATAAAACTGATGTGGCGCGAAAATGAACACATTAAACCTAGCCCTACACCAGCTCCTGCCTTGCTATGGTTGCTACCATACCAACCATACCAACCATATCTCCTTTTAATACCGCCTTGCCTTTAGTAGAACCTTATCCTCTATTTTAACGTAGCTTTAAGTCTTATAAGACGAATGGTCAGAACCAAGAGTAGCTAAATCTGAGAGGGTATTTTCAATTAAGCCAATGAGAGGAACGAACAGTAAGAAGTAGGAGAAGTAGAATGTAGAACACGCTTGACCAATAGTGATAAAAGGGGGCTCTGGGTGTTGTGACCCGATCCACGTAAGAATAAGGAAGTTAACCACAAAACCCCAGAATAGTAAACGCATAAAAGGACGGAAGGCACAAGATCGGACACGTGAAGTGTCCAGAAGGGGCATGAGGAAGAGAATCAAGATGGACCCTATCATAGCTATTACCCCTAGTAACTTCGAAGGTATGGCGCGCAGGATTGCGTAGTAGGGGAGCAGGTACCATTCTGGTACGATAGAAGCTGGTGTCTGCATTGGATTAGCCGGAATGTAGTTATCAGGGTGGCCTAGAGTATTAGGCAAGAAGAATACGAAAGTAGATAACACAAGGAAAAAGACGAAGAAACCTACCAAGTCTTTAAACGTATAGTACGGGTGAAGTGGAACACGATCAAGGGAACTTGAAATTCCCATCGGATTGTTGGAACCATTTTGGTGGAGTGCAATCATGTGCATGATTACTAACATTAGCAGGACAAAAGGTAAGAGGAAATGCAGAGAGTAGAATCGGTTTAAGGTAGCATTGCCTACAGAGTAACCCCCCCATATAAATTCAACTAAGTCTGTACCAAGCCAAGGTATAGCCGATAAAAGGTTAGTAATCACAGTCGCCAGGTTTCTCAATCAGACCTTTTCTCTAGCTAAGAGAAATTCTCTTTGATCTAATCGACTGTACTTTAAAACCTAAAGTGAGGATTTACCTAAAGCCCTAGATACTGAAAATCAGTAAGAAACCCCGACTATACATTAAGCACCATCGCAGGCACCTATCGGCGAGCTAGTCTGTAGCAGTCATACACTTAACTGACGGTCTTGGCGCAAAGAGAGGCGGTATTGACCGTTAACGCCGATATCGCATATCCTCAAAACTAGCTTCCTAGTGTAAGTTGCACCAGTCTCTAAGAGAATACACTATATATGTCACTAAGCTTGCTTACGCAACATACTAGGGACTACAAAATCCTTAACAATACCACGAAGAATAGGCATAGACTCAGAATGGATGTAAATAGTCCACTGGTCACGATTTCTATTAGGAGTAGCTACAATATCGTATTTATCCTTAAGAACGGTGCAGAGAAAAAGGACATCGTTATAGCTGAAATTGTGGGAAGCCAGCTTCAATCCGTAAGACATAGCATCTTGAATCCAGACAGCAAGAGCCAAGGGAGTGAAATAGTCTCCAATACAATCTGGGACAATCTTCACACCATCCTTGTAGAAGATTGAGTGAATCCAAATAAAGCTAGAGAAAGTCCAAGAGTGTACCTTAAAATAGTATCTAAGTTGACCGGCCTTTGCGGTGCGAATCAGTAACTTTGGCTTTTTAGTGGAGCAATACCCTCTATCAGAGAGAAAACGCCAGAACATCATAAGATACTCAACATTGGTGCTCTCCTGCTGGAAAGAGATACGAACCCCATTCCCATGCCTCTCCGCATGAGAATCACCTAGTAGAGATCCGAAGATAACAGATAAAACGTCAATATTGTGCGGACCAATACGGTTTGTAGCCTTAGTACGTGGCATAATGAAAGGCAGAGACATACATGTGGGGCTTTCATGGCCACCCCAAAGTGACATTTGTCCAAATGGTAGGACATATCCGAGGAAAGCAGTAATGACCATCACTAAGAAGATAACTACACCAATAGACCAAAGGAGGGTTCTAGGAGCTCTGAACGAGCCATAATACAAGGCTTTACCAATATGGAGGTAAACAAATAGGAAGAAAAATGAGGCTACATTAGCGTGTAGGTATCGTATTAACCAGCCGTTGTTTACATCTCTCATGATGTGTTCAACGCTGCAGAAGGCTGCATCTATCGAAGGTAAGTAGTGCATCGCTAGAGTGACCCCTGTTATGATCTGTAGAACTAGGCAGCTACCTAAGAGAGATCCGAAGTTCCATATATAGGTAATGTTACTAGGAGCTGGGGAGTCTATCAGATAGCTATTTGCTAATACAAGCAGTGGATGAGCTTTAAGCAGCTTCATATTCTGAAATGATCAGGCTAATCTAGGTGAGTTTTAATGAGCAGCCAGGGATCTGCTTCCACCTCCCCCAGCCACTGGCCCCCCCGCGCCTTAGGGCGAAGGTTGAAAGGTAACTCGACTCAATAGGCCTTGAAGTTCTTATGCCAGCTCTAAGGCCAATAGTCCGCTGGATAGTCTTAGACTACCCCCGGGTGTTTTGAAGACTCCTCTCTACCTTCACAGCACTAAAGAGGGAAGAAGGCTTCTGAAGATTATTGCTTCAGAGTGAAAAACTCCCTTCTATAAGAGATTAAGGGGAATGGGAGGGAGAGAGGGGGGAGAAGGAGTTAGATGTATCCGTTAAATAGAACTGGCTCAAGGGGTATAGTACAGTTAATATCCTGTGATAAGACTGCTCTTCATCCAATTTTCTCAAGCTTACCGGGCTGCCTAGAGACTCTTTAGGCCCATTTATGACGGATAACGGAAACCCCCCTCGTATTACCGCGACTGCTGGCACGAGGTTTGGTCGGGACTGATAGCAGAGATGTCTCATCATGCTCCTCTACTTAGGGATAGAACCTTAATAGGAATCTCCCATCTAGTTGGCTGGATCAAGGTTGCCCTCATTGTCCAAAATTCCCCACTGCTGCCGACCCTCGGTCGGGTGGCCCTTGTTTCAGTGCCACTGTGACTGATTACCCTTTCAGGCCAGCTATGGTTCATCGACTTGGTAGGCCGTTACCTCCACCAACTATCTATTCCAATAAAGGCCCATCTTCAGTCGAAAAGCTTCCTTTTACGGCATTAAACCGAAGCTGAAGGCAGGTTCCTTCCTCTACTCACCCGTACGCCATGACCAAGTGGTCATTTGACTCGCATGTGTGACGCCACTAGATACCGTTCATCCAGAGCCACGTCCAAGCTCTTACTTATTTGTGCATCCTTAGCACGGGAATACACAAGATGAATCTACAAGTTTTAGCGTAGCG